GTTTTTTGGTAATGAATTAAGTGATGCAACAAAAGAAAATGGATATTATATTATTAAAAAAGCTAATATTTGTGAAAAACTTTTTAACCCTATTCTCAAGTAAGTTAAATAAATTTATTATAACATAAATTTATTTATTTATTATAATTGAATATATAATAACTTGTTTAATAATTAATTTATTTTGTAAGATTTTTATATACATGTAAAATCGAAATTGAAAATTATTCTGGTGCTGAAGTATTGGAACTATTGATAGCAGTGGATGAACTTGGTATTGAGTCACTTTATGAATATATGATGAAATACTTTATTGAAAATTATGAAGATTATATAAAAGAAAGTCCAGTTAAAATTCTTCAATTGATTTATGCTAACAAAAATTTTAATAAATTGAAAAATTTTTATTTGGAAAAGTTTTGTGAACATAGTGAAAAATTATTTGAATCAGATGAATTTGAATCATTGGAAAAACCAATTCTATTGGATATTCTCAAAAGAGATGATTTTTCTGTTGATGAAATAGTTATTTGGGAAAACATTCTTAAGTGGGGATTAGCAAAACATCCAGAAATCAATAATATCAATGTTGAAGATTGGTCATTATTTGTTGATTTGAGCAACACATTGAAAGAACTTATTTCTTTAATAAGGTTTCAGGATATCTCTAAAGAGGATTTTTTTGATAAAATTGATCCATATAATACACTTTTTCCTAGGACTTTATGGAGATCCCTTTCACAATACTATTTTTTTCCTGATAGGCAACAAACATTAAATTTATTACCATCAAGGATTCTAAAATTGAATTCAACACTTGATTCATTGACAATTAATCAAAATCTTACTTTGCTTTTTGCAAGTTGGATTGATAGAAAAAGTCCACCATATGATTCATTCAAAGAAGTCAAATATGAATTCAAACTTCTATATCACAGTAGTAGGGATGGTTTAAATGCTGCTACATTTCATCAAAAATGTGACAATATCAACAAAACTCTTGTAGTTGGCAAAATACAAAATTCAGAGCAAATAGTTGGTGGTTATAACCCACTGGATTGGAATGGAGGTGGTATATGGAAAGATACAACTGAAAGTTTTATTTTTAATATAAGTAATAGAAATAATATCAATGCTGTACAATTTAGTTATGTCAATGATAATAATTATGCAGTTGGTTGTAATCCTTCTTATTTGCCATTTTTTGGTCGTGGTAATGATGTTTTATTTAAATTAGATGGTAGTG